GAATGACCCTGTAACCCAGCAATTACCACTCCTAGTTTGAACAGTTTTCTATTCTGGCATATTTACATATATCAAACTGATACTTATATGCCAACATTTACTATAGTTTTATTCACAACAGCCAAAAGGAAGAAATAACAAAGTATCCATCACATGGACAAGAAATTGATAAACAAAACACTGTATTGTGTGTGTGTGTGGTGGGAGGGGGATGTATAATGAATATTACTCAGCTACAAAAAGTGATGCTAATATTTCTGATAGATGCTACAATATGGATAAAACTGAAAACATTATTATGCTAAGTAAAATAAGCCAGATACAACAGGACAAATACTGTATATTCCATTTATGTGAACTATCTAGAACAGACACAAAGTAGAAAAGTAATGATTAGAGTTTACCAAGGACTGGGTTAGAAGGAAATAAGAAGTTATTGGTTAAAAACAGAGTTTCGGTTTGGAACAATGAAAAAGTTTTAAAAATAAAAATGATTACACAACATTTGAATGCTACCAATGCCACTCAATCACATATTTCATGGTTCAAACTATAAATTTTATGTATATTTTACTATTAAAAAAAAACTAATGAGGGCTAGGGTTGTGGCACAGTGATAGAGCACATGCCTAGCATGTGTGAGGCACTGGGTTTGATCCTAAGCACCATATAAAAATAAATAAAATAAAGGTCCCTCAACAACTAAAAAAAAAAAAAAAAAAGAGTTGTTTTCTCCTTTTCATGCTTTGGAATAGCTTAAATAATACCAAAATGATCTGGTTTAAATTTGATGGTACTCTCCTGGAAAACATCTGAGCCTGGTTCTTTTCCATGGAATGGTTCTCTGATGACTCTTAATTCATCTGTGGAAATCGGTCTCCCAATTCTACCTGCTCTAAATTTATTTTAGGGAAATTTTACTTTCTAGATTTCCAAAGACCAGATTTTCCAAAGAGGTAACATTTTTACTTAATTCAGTATTATTTTATTCCTTAATCCATTAATTTCTATACTTTTTATTTTATTTCCTTTCTCCTCTTTCATCTTAGTTTATTGTGTTTTTTAGACTTGAATAAAACATTTAACTCATTTCTTTTCATTTTCATTATTTATATAAAGATATTAATTTTCCTGAGCATGTTTATAAAGCAAATATAACACTGATATCTTAAAGCAAAAATAAAGGAAATTACAGGTGAATCTCACCTTTTAAAAAAAATAAATAATCTGGTATGGTTCCAGGAATGCAAGGATAGTTCAATAGATTAGGAAATCCAGGGATATAATTCACAAATTGTCAGCTCTAAAGAGGAAAGAACTATACAACCTTCTCCACAGACCCACTGAAAACACCTTCAAAACTCAACTCTCATTAGTGTTCTGATAAAACACTTTACTAAAATAAAAGTCAATGGATACATCTTTAATATGGTGAAATATATATACCTCAACCTTAAAGCTAGCCTCCAATTTACTGAGGAAACACTAAAATCATTCCCACTGGAACAAGAAAAAGGTACTTACTATTCTCAACTATTTAAACAGTATTGAAATTACCAGAAAACACCATCAAGAAATTAAAAGTGGTAATGAGAATAAGAACTATAAAGGAAGATTTATTTAAACTTTCTCTATTGCAGATAATATAACGGTAAAGCCAGGAAATCTAGGAGAATCAACTAATAATGATGATTAAATTAGGTAAAAGATACTTTGAAAAATCATAAATATGTATGTACACATAAACACAAAATAATGAAAAAGAACTCACTTAAAATAGCAACAAAAAAATGACTTTTTTGGTGAAATCAACAAAAAGGTTGATTTAACAAATGGAATGAAACACATTGTTCTTTGATAGGATAGTTTGGAATCATAAAACTGCCAATTCTCCTGAAGTTAATATATATGTTTAACTTCAATGAGATTTCAGGAACAATACCAATTGCAAGAGAAGAGTATATACAGACATCATCATTAAATTTCATATGGAAATGAAAATAAGAATAGCCAGTAAAACCCTGAAAAAGAAGCATAATGAGAGAACAGCCTTGTTCAATCACATACTAAAACGTCTGTTATTAAAATGGTATATGAAGGTTGGGGATAAAGCTCAGTGTGGTAGAGGGCTTGCTACCTAGCATGCAAGAGGCCCTGGATTTGATCCCAAGCACTGCAAAAAAAAAAAAAGGAAAAAAACAAAAACACCACACAATAGTGTGGAAAGAGCACATGAATTTAGAAACGAAGCAATAGAAAAAGTTGAGAAAGATTTACATAGAAATATGATGTAATATAAAACCAAAGTAGCATCTCAAATCCCTGGGCAAAGGGTTAAGTAATTTTTACTTAATTATGTTCAATCAAGGAGACACATTTTGAAGCAGTTAAAATTACCCATAACTCAACTATATTCCATAATGAATTTCAAATGTGTTCAAGATTCAAATATTAAAAATGAAGATTCCATACAACATCAAGAAAGAATCTCACTACACATTAATGCCATTTACTTTAAGTTTATAAATAAGTCAACCTATGATGTCAGAAGTCAAAGACAGTGGCCCACTACTTTTGAAAAGAGAAAAGGGGATAATAAAGAGTTGAAAGGGTTAAAACTAAATATTCTGTCTTCTTGAAATAAAACATAAAAAGCACAGGTCTGATTTTTATAACACTATGATACAAGGATTAATATATTCCCCAACTTTACATGTGATGAAAAAAGACACAGGGAGGTTAAGTAATTTCCATAGACCACACACTTGTCAACAAGTGGGACCATAATTTTAACCTAGGCCAAGTAACTTTAAAGTCAGCACACTTAACAAACTTTCCAGGTATCAGAAGTTAAATGCAACATTATCAACAACATTAAACAGTATGGTTAACCTTGGGGATTATAGTTTGATCCTTTCCACTATTATATGGCCTTCCTTATGTACAAGAATTGGAAGAATGCCACTGTAGGAAAGTTAATGGTATGAAGGCAGCAACTATGTCTGCTTCCTATCTCAGAATATTACACCGAGCATCCAGTGCAGCGTCTGGAACACAGTGACTGGTGAATAGTATCACAGACAAATTATAGATTTACTTTTTACATTATACATTCAATATAATGAAAAAAAATTAGAGATCAAATAGCAAAAGATACAAACAGTTCACAATAAAGATAGCTCTGAAATAAAAAAAAAAATCCAATATCTTAGAGACAGGATCTTTAGGAAGGTAATTAAAGTTAAACAAGGTCATACGGATGGGCCCTAATCCAATAGGACTGGTATCCATTCAAGAAAAGTCACCAGAAGGCTCTCTCTCTGTGTCTCCATTCATATACAGAGGAAAAACCATACATGGACACAGCAAACAGGAAGGCTGTCTTCAAATAAGGAAGCAGCCTCAAACTGATGAAGAAAGCAATTATGATACCATCTTTTTTTTAACATTTTTTAGTCATATATGGACACAATATCTTTATTTTGTTTGTTTTTATGTGGGGCTGAGGATTGAACCCAGTGTCTCACGTGTACGAGGGAGGGGTTCTGCCACTGAGTCACAACCCCAGCCCATATGATAGCATTTTGATAACAGCTTTCAGCCTCCAGAACTGTGAGAATATAAAATACTATAAACTCACCCTATCTGGGGTATTTTGTCATGGCATCCCTAACATTAATACAAATAATTATCTATTAAGTTTCTATAATTTTTAATAATGGACTCAAAAAATTCCTATAAATAACTATGCTGCTATAAAAAAGAATGAGGAAGAACTACCTATGTTATTGATAGTAATTGATTGCCAAGATAACACTATGAAGTGAAAAACGGAAGCCGAGAATATATATATACTAAGTTATCTTTTCTACAATAGAAATATTCTAACAATGAATATTCTAACAATGAATTATATATTTCCTTAATTTTTAAAGAAAAAAGTAAGAAACATAACATTAAATTAAAAATATTTAGAAAAGGGGGCTGGGGATGTGGCTCAAGCGGTAGCGCGCTCGCCTAGCATGCGTGCGGCCCGGGTTCGATCCTCAGCAGCACCACATACCAACAAAGATGTTGTGTCCGCCAAGAACTAAGAAAAAATAAATAAATGTTAAAATTCTCTCTCTCTCTCTCTGTCCCCCTCTCTCTCTCACTCTCTCTTTAAAAAAAAAAAAAATATTTAGAAAAGAAGCACAGGAACCAAGAGGAGAAAATAAAATTGAAATCTAAATTTCTCTGGAGTATATCTTTTTATGTACATTTTACTTTTAACCCCCCCCACACACACACATACATATACACACACAAATTCAAAAATAAACTAAAGACTTTAATATTCAAGTAAAAACAAGATAATCATTCCTATACTAAGCTTTAACAATTTCAAAATTCATACTTCTAACCTCTTTCCAACTCCACAAAAGAAATTCAAAAGAGAAACCCAGCATGATAGTACACCCTGTAATTATAGGTTCTCAGAAGACTGAAGCAGGAGTATACCAAGTTCCAGGCCAGCCTGGGCAATATGTTGAGACCCTGCGTCAAAATAAAAACTAAAAGAGCTGGCTGGGGCTATAGCTCAGTGGTAGAGCATCCCTGGGTTCAATCACCAGTACTGCAGAAAATTTAAAAAGAGTAATCATACTGCTGATTTGAGTTGTAGCTCAATGGTAGAGGGCTTGCCTACATGTTTGAGGCACTGGTTCAAGTCTTAGCACCACATGCAGATAGACAGATAGATAAAAGTCTATTGACAGCCAAAAAACCTTTTTTTTTTTTAAGAAGAGTAATCATACTAACATTTACAATTTATCATAAGTTTATTTATAATAATCTATTTGTATTTGGGGCATCAATTTGAGGCAGACTGTCATCATATGATGACACAATAGTGGAATTAAGTGAGATTCCAAGACATATCTGGTTAACAAATGTAACGACACTATAGCACTTTCAATACATTACAATGAATACCTAATTTTTAATAGTATATGAATTACCTGTTTGTATTCACTGACACAACTTTGACAGCAAAATCTTTTCTGCTGACCATCAATCACCAGAACATTATTTCCAGCACCTTTACTGGGCAAATATTCTCCACACTGTTCACAGCAATTCATTATTAGACCATTGGCCATTCTGTATCTATTAAAGCAGTGGTCACTGCACAGTTTATGAGTCATATTTTTAAAGCTAACTTCATGGCGAATCTGAAAGAAAAACAATAAACAGAATTTTAAAAAACAAACTCGTAAACCTTGGTCATGTTCCTGGAGCAGTGTTTGTCAGGTTCCTACCCTGAAAATTTAATTTGCACCCCCCAACTCCCAATTCTCTATGGTAGTCTTTAGAAGGGATTCACTATGCTCAGGCCACAATTAAATGCCAATAAAATGATGACTGTAGTGCAGCAAATTAATGTCCCTTATCTTACATTATCATCCATTTTGTTTGTGTTTGTGTGGCAAGAGCAACTAAAATGTATTAATTTAGCAGGAATTACAAATACAGTACAGTTTTGTTGCCTATAGTCCTCATGTTGAATGTTTTTAGCAGACTGAGGTCTCTGAAAACTGTGAATGCCAAATAAAAATTTCTTCCTCCTCAAAAAACAAACAAACAAACAAACAAACAAACAAACTCATAGGCAGGCACAGTGGCACATGCCTGTAATCCCAGGGACACAGGAGGCCTGAAATGGGAAGATCAAAAGTTCAAAGCCAGCCTCAGCCTTGGTGAGGCACTAAGCAACTCAGTGAGACTCTGTCTCTAAATAAAATACAAAATAGGGCTGAGGATGTGGCTCAGTGGTGGAATGCCTCTGAGTTCAATCCCCAGTACCCTTTCCCGCCCCAAAAAAGCATACTCGTGTTCAAGTAACTAAATAATAAGATGATCCAACAGAAAAAAAGATGACCCAATAAGGCTTGTTTGGGGAAAAGGAAAAATAAAATGCATTTCTTTAAAACTATTTTTACATGCCCACGAACACATATATAGCACTGAAAAAGAGAAATCCCACCAGTAACATCACTATGAACTTTTCTAGATGTATATTAAAATAACAGAAAATAACCAAGATTGGATAGTGTTGATACTAACAAACATACTAGGAAATTTCAAGTGACTCCAAAAGAATTGCTCTAAAAAAGGAAGGAGAGAGAGAACCAATTATTATGAATAATTCAAATGAGAAATGTATCCACAGTTTTCTTTTTATTTAGTATCATAATTAACAATATTAATTTACCAAAAAATATTTCCTTCCAGTTGGGGAAGAGGGCACACACTTTAATCCCAGTTATTTAGGAATCTGAGTTGGAGGATTCCTTGAGCTCAAGCTCAAGACCAGCCTGGGCAATAGTGAAACCAGTATCAAAACACAGAAAATATTCTTCCATTTTTACTTCCCAGCAAAAGTATTTACTGTCTTTCCTGTATAGTCAGACAATTTGTTTAACTAAACATGTTACTAGATCAAAAAAAAAAAAAAAATCAACCACAATATTTATTTTTGTCTGTGACTGCTCCCAACCTCAGGAAAAAAAATAGACAACATAATTTTTCCAAAGTCAGCACCTTATTGAAGAATGGGATTCTTAGATAATATACTCAATCTCAAGGAAATATACATTTGATTTTTTAAAAGCTATGTAATAGCTAGTAGAGTTTAAAATAGTCCCAGCTAAAGTATAAAGTATAAAAATACAAACCTCTGTTAATTTACCACAGATTGTACATCTTGATTTATTTAGAGTTCCTTTAGTAGGATTCTGTTTGTCTTCATAAAGAGACAAACAAGATGTACTACAGAATTCCTGGAAGGACTCACTTGAATCTACTTGAGCAACAATGGTTCCTTTCATCGTAGTTATATCTCTGAAAAATAAAAGGTACAACTTAAAGCCAAATTCCATTAGAAAACTGATGTTTTCATTTCCATAGATTGAATCACAGAAATCAAACAACTTTTGTATCCAGGAAATCACTTTTACTACTTAGAAATTCTTGGCAATAAAATTTGAAAAGTGAAAACATCTTATAGTATTAAATTCTTGCTACTGTGCAATTTTCTCCAAATTTAGTAGCAAGGCTTTTAGATATTGGAAATAATAAAAGGGGCTATTAATTACATGGAATTAATGTCAAGGACTTATTTACTGAGACTTAAGTTTATATATACTTATTGAATTCTCCTCCCTTGGGTAAGTAGAAAACATGAGACAGGAATGACATATATTCAAGAGAAGTAACTACAGTATTTTTTGCTTAAATGCACTACCCCATTCTCCAAATAATGTTATCCACCATTCTACATTGCTCTCCCACTGCAATTAGAAATATTAGGAAATTAGTAGAGAATAGGAGGAAATAACATTATCGATGAACCTTCCTTTAAAAGAAGGAAAATCTGAATTCCAAAACCCTCCACTGTAGTATTTAAACCTACTACTATAAAGAAATACAAAAACTATAAATTAATTGTTTCCATATTTGAAGTTATTAAACATGTACTGAGCACTAAACCCTTTTCCAGAGTTCCAAGATCTAAAAATAGTGTCACAGTCTTAGGCTGCACCAAGAAATGTCAATGTGGCTTTACCTTGTATATAATATACCATATTCCAGTTATTTTTAATTAGTAAAGCTAGTTCAAAAAGGAAGGAGAGGATCCTGTCTTTCCTAGGCTAACAAAAATCTAGCACCTGAATCCAAAAACTATAATGATTAATGTGTTCAAAAGAAACACATATAAAACCCAAAGGCTTATAGATTTTTATTAATCTCAATCTAAAGATACTATAAAATTTGACCCATTTTAATACAGAACTATTCACATGTTTAGCTTTTTTTTTTTTTATTTTTTGGGGGGAAGCAGGGTACTGGGGATTAAATCCAGAGGTACTTTACCAATAAGCCATATCCCTAGCCCTTTTGTTTTTTGAGACAGGATTTCATTAAATTGCTTAGGGCCTTAAGTTGCTATGATTGGACTTGAAATTTTGATCATCCTGCCTCAGCTTCACTGGGATTATAGACATGCACCACTGCACAACAGCTTGCTTAACATTTTTATCTGCCAAAAAGAGCTAAATTCTTATAATTAATAATGTATTCAATGGCAGAGTACTTACTTAGCCTGGGTGAGGCCCTAGGTTTGATCCCCAGTACAAAACCAAACACACAAAAATTTTAAAATAATGTAAATAACCATGTATGTTTACAAATTCCAGGAGTCCAAGTAATAAACTGTATTTATAAGCCAACTGGGCTTGATGGAGAAATTTCCAAAGCTGTTACAAATCTGAGCTTGATTTAAGATTCAAAGTAGCTTACCAATTCTTAAAACATAGCAATTCACCTTCAAGACTCTCACTGAAAATTTTCTTAAAATTTTACACCACCAATATTCAACCACATGGAATTGTACTTAAAGATAAACCTTACTTTTTACACATAACACAGAGTTTCTTTGGAGCAGGCTTGTGGGAGAAGGAAGAAAGGCAGGTAGTCGAACAAAAGAGATGAGCTGATCCTTTTCGTTGATAAGCTGTCTGTCCCTTCTGTAAAGGTTTTTTGCAGTTTGCACAAGTAACTTTAACTGGTTTAGTGGGTTGCTGTTGGGCAGAAGGCTGAAAAATCTGTTTAGGAAGTGAGGCCACTGGTGATAAAGAATCCACCCCTGGTTGTTTCTGATTACGGGGAAATGATGCTGACTGGGAGATCCAAGAATCTGAAAAACAAAATGCACAAGGATGATTAATAAAATAGGTGTTTATACATATTGAAATTTATATCAGAAAAATAGTTTTGACTTCCTATTGTATACAAGTTTAAATGTTAATGTAGCAACCATCAAGTCTGACTCTTACCAACAATGTTTAGTATTCTTGAAAACTGCTGGTAATTTTAAGTGTTTCAACAACAACAAAGTATATGTTAGGTAACATGTTCTTTAATTAGTTCAACTTCACCACTCCACAATGTACACATATTTCAAAACATGATGTAAATGCTAAAAAATATAATAATTTTTGTCATTTACAAAAGACTAGTTTATATTCCAGCTCCATTACTTGTAAAATTGTTATGCTAGTTAAATTATGTCTCACTCTTCTCTAAAATGGAAATGGTACCAACCTCATACAAACGGTAAATAGTAAAAGAGATAATACATGAAATAAAGCATAATGACCAGCATACAGGAAGCACTAAAACAAATATTCATTAGTTATTAGGCAGGAAGTATTCATGTATTTGTGGAATGTTACTTTAAATAAAGAAAATATAATGAAATTTTAATCAAACAGGACCTTTAACAAATGAAATACAGGTCTGACAAGGCTTATATAATTATTTTCAAACATTTCTTTTGAGATGGGGGCAGGCCTTGACTTGATCGCCTGGCCCCAAGCGATCCACCTCAGCCTTCCAAGTGCTGGGATTACAACTGTGCACCAACACACCCAGTTTCCAAACATCTTTATAAGAACAGTTTTGCCACACATTTAGTTTCATGACCTCTAAATATACCACAAAATCTCAGAAGTTAGAGGATTAACACAGAAATTTTGGAGTTAAGCTTATGTATAATGACCAATCCAACAACAAATTACAACTGCAAAGGTTCAACAGAGAACTGAGTTATGTGCAACTAATAATACTAGATGAATGAATTAGCCAATTCATTAAAAAGTATTCAATTTTCTCTTTTGTGGTAACCTTCTTTAGTACTCTGAAGGAAGTCTCCAGCTTGCCACACTAGGTCCTGTTCCAAATCCCTGTCATAACACAACCAATACTATAACCTATCTTCAGTTCGAAAGTGTCAAGCTATCAATTCTAATTGCTACTATTTTGATCTCTCAAATTCTTCCCTTCTCATTCTTTCTAAATTTTGAACTTCCATACATACATAAAAGCTGTACTTTCATAAGAAATACAAACATAAAAAGAGCTTGAAGACACTCCAATCCATTCCATCAACCTAATAGTTTCAAGCGACTACACACTGCCATTCAGATTTTAAGTCTACAACAACCCTCCCCCCCAGAAAAAAACACTTTTATTCAGAGTAAACAAGTACATTCTGGAATCCCAAGACTATCTTGCTACAATCAAGGTAACTGACTAGTTTTAACAAACAGGCAAAAGTACTCATCAACAGAAGAAAAACAAGCAATAAAAGAACAGGGAATTCCATGTTTACAGAGAAAACAAGGCCTTCAATCAAAAATTACGCTTTAGTGCATGCTTGGAATTTTGCACGCTTATCTTTTAATACATACCTTAAAAAGTTTATTTAAACTTAAGGGTATCTCTACTCCCTTGATTTTGGAAAAAAATGGCATTTTCGGTTTTTTCAGTTTAGCTGTAAGCCCTGTATAAATAATAAAATGGCTTCCTTTATCTACATTTTAGCCTTTACATCTCCCCTACTTTCACATTTTCACCTCCTCCAGCAATAAAAAACAATTTTTAAAAAAGTAGGGAGGGCTGGGGATGTGGCTCAAGCGGTAGCGCGCTCGCCTGGCATGCGTGCGGCCCAGGTTCGATCCTCAGCACCACGTACAAACAAGAGATGTTGTGTCCGCCGAAAAAAAACTAAAATAAATAAATAAAACTAACTCTCTCTCTCTCTCTCCCCGCCCCCCGCCTCTCTCTTTAAAAAAAAAAAAAAAGGACATAATCTTTGTCTAATCCCTCCATTCCACACAGAGACAAAAGGGAATAGCAGATAAATTTCCAAGTCACAATTTGTCCAAGAATCAGTACAAATAGCAAAGATTTTATAACTCTTAATTTATTATTCTCTATTAGGAATAAAAACAGCCTATAAATGCAAGAGCAAGAAATATATGTTTGTATACATTTTTCTCATGAGTATTTCCTTATATAAGAGTTTGAGCAATGCTGGGCACAGTGGCGCACACCTGTAATCCCAGAGGCTCAGGAGGCTGAGGTTCAAAGCCACCTCAGCAACTTAGTGAGGCTCTAAGCAACTTACTGAGACCCTATCTCTAAATAAAGAATAAAAAGGGCTAGGGATGTGGTCAGTAGTAAAGCACCCTTGGGTTCAATCCCTGGTACCAAGGGAGAAAGAAAAAATGAGTTTGAGTAAATAGGAACACAATTCTGTTTTTCTTTTAAACATAATTTTAGTTGTAGATGGACACAATACCTTTATTTTATTTATCTGTTTCTTTATGTATTTTATTTATTTAGTGGTGCTGAGGATAGAACCCAGTGCCTCACATGTGCCAGGCAAGTACTCTATGTCTGAGCCACAACCCCAACCCATGAATACAATCCTTATGATGATATTGGTCCCTTTTACCCAACAATATTCCTAAAGAAAGAAATATCCCAAGATACATGTATAAGAATATTCTTGCTGGGCATGGTTGCACACACCTGTAACTACTGGGAGGCTGAGGAAGTTGGATCACAAGTTCAAAGCCAGTCTCAGCAACTTAGCAAGGCCCTAAGCAACTTAACAAGACCCTGCCTTTAAAAAAAATAAAAAAAGGGGCTGGGGATGTGGCTCAAGTGGTAGCGCTCTTGCCTAGCATGCGTGAGGCACTGGGTTCGATTTTCAACACCACATAAAAATAAAGATATTGTGTCCACCTAAAATTAAAAAATAAATATTAAAAAAAACAATAAATAATAAATAAATGAGAGGAAAAGAAAGAAATAAGGAAAGAAAGCTAGGGGGTTACACCTATATTACATGAGCATTTCTCTCTATATATTCTATTTATACACCTGACGGATACAATTTGGTCTTTATACTCCCCCTATTACTATAGAAGACAGAGCAGTTAAGAGAGTCATTTTATGATAAATGCAATCATAATGGAATTAACTGTCTTCCAAAGCAGTATGTAGGAAACTGAAATCTGTAGTGGAGGTGCAGTAGGCATTGTTAAACAGTCTCTCCGATACATAGGAAGTAAGTACAACCAACTCCAAGCACTTTCTGACTCCAAGGTTAGGATTCTCATCTGAGTGGATTACCAATTTAAATCTACCAATGCAGATAAAACAGAACTGACTACATAAGGGCATTTTACAAGAAGGTTTACAAAAAACAAAAACCCCTCCACAAATAAACCAACTCTACTAAAAACACTGACTTTGGATTGTATGACTCTGTATTTTCCTTTATTTACTTATTTCAAAAACATTAGAGTACGTATTCTCATTACA